CCGAGTCGGCCGGCGCGCGCTCCCAGCGCAGGACGGCGTAGGCCTCGCCCAGGCAGACCAGCTGCAGCGGCGCGAGGGCGAGGGTGCGGAAGGCCGCCTCGTCGCTCCACAGCCCCCACTGCCCGTTCGCGCTGCAGGCCCGCACGATCGCCGTGTAGGCCGTCGCGGGGTGCAGGGCGTGGACCTGGTAGGAGGACCCCTCGCGCGGCAGCTGCTTGTCGATGACCGCGACGGACGGGACCTCGTTCGCGTTGAAGACGCAGAGGTGGTAGGCCAGGACCTCCGGCTCGCCGAGCGCGACCGCCCCGCGGGCGTCCTCCGGGAGGCTGTCCAGGAAGGCCTCGGGGGCCTGCGCGACCCGCGCCCAGCGGAGCTGCGCGAAGTGCTCGCTCGGCCGGTGCACCGACAGCTCCAGCGGCATCATCGTCGCGAAGTAGACGGCGTCGCTCCACAGGCTCCAGGCGTTCTGCCCCTCCTCCCCGGAGCGAACCCGCGCGGCGTACAGGGTGTTCGGCGCGAGCCGCTTCAGCGTGTAGGCCCCGCAGCCCCGCCGGAGCTTCTTGACGAGTTGGTAGCCCGGCCGCACGCTCGCCACGTCGAGCTCGAAGCCGTCGGACTTGCGGTGGTCCCCCACGACGGCCTGGGTGCCGTCTGGGAGGGTCAACGGGTGGATCTCCCGCCGCCACATCACCGTCGCCCCGTCCTCGCGGATGAAGCGCAGCGTGAGCTGAAGCTTCGGCAGGGTGCGGATGTACAACGTCCGGCTCCAATCCCCCCACGCCTTGTCGATATGGCAGCGCAGCGCGACGCTGTACACCCCGTCCGGCCGAAGCCCCACCGCCGTGAAGGTCGACTCCGTCGGCGGGAGCTGCTCCTCGACGTGGTAGGCGCCCTCCCCGCGCTCGGCCTCGCCGCCGTCGGCGACGCGCTCGTCGATGCGGATCTCGTAATGCCGCACCGGCTTAAACGCCGTGCTCTTTCGCATCGCCAGCGGCCGCACCCCGGGGTCTCGCTCCCAGTGCACGCGGAAGGCGTTCTCGCCGATCTCGCTCGCCACGCAGACGATCGCGCGGAGGGTCACGGCGTAGTCGGGCTCGCTCCAGACCCCGGGGACGGCCCGCGCGCGGGCGACGATCTCGTGGATCTGGGCGTCGTCCGTCTGCGGGCGGACCGCCGGGCAGTCCGCGAGAAACTCCCCCGAGGGCTGATACCACCGCCGCACGCAAATGCGATAGCGGTGGTTCGTCAGAAGCTCCCGCACGGTGTGGTAGCGCTGCCGAGGGGAGATGAAAATCGTCCACAGGGCGTGCTCGGCGTCCGTCAGGGCCGCGGCCTCGTCCCCGAAGGCGACCTGCGAGAAGTCGTGCACGACGAGCTCATAACACATCGTGTCCTCGACCTTCCCCAGGCTCAGCGCGTGCAGGTTCGCGGTGTTCGAGCGGCGCTGCCAGGTCACGTGGAAGAAGTTCTCCCCAAGGTCCTTCAGCTCGAGCGCGAGGAGGTTGTAGGTCCCGGTCTCGACCGGCTCACTCCAAGGGCCCCAGATCGCCCCCTCGTAGCGCGCGCGGACGGCGAGAAAGTACACCGTGTCCGGCCGGAGATCCGGGACGGTGTAGTGACAGGCCTCGCGCGGGACCTAGTGCACGACCCC